GCATCCACGCACGCCGGACGCATGCGCGGCGCTGGGACGTGATTTCTACGTAAGGTTGGAAGAGAATCGACGTACGCCAGATATCTGACGTAAATATCCACAACAAACATGGCGGACGGTGAGTTAATTGTTCCGTTGGTTCGCGGGTTGTCGCGGTCTTTTATTGTATTTCTGTTTGTTTGTTGCGTGTTTCCGGTTTGATTCGATGATTTGATGCGTGGTTTGACCCGCAGAGGCGGACTTTACCCGGTAACGGGATGTATTCCCCGCACACACAGCGTTAACGTGATGCTAAGCTAGGTTGCCGCCGCTAACAGTGTGGAGAAGTGAATGAACGTTAACGAGCTCCGGTTCCACTAACGACTAAACACTGTTATTGTTGATGTTTACTTCAGATTCCCGCCACACAGGAAGACTTCCTACCAACCAAACTCCATTCAAATATCCGCCCAGTTAACACAGCAGAACGTGCTGCTCTCTGATCAATAATCAATAATCATTAAAGCTTTTATTTTATACAGATAATACAGAGTTAATGTCACAGTGTGATCCAAAGTTCCTCTGACTCCTGTTAGCTGCGTCTGTGGAGGTCTGTGGGGGGTCTGTGGAGGTCTGTGGAGGTCTGTGGGGGGTCTTTGAAGGTGTGAGCTCTGTGAAGGTCGTGGGTAGGTCTTTGAAGGTCTGTGGAGGTCTGAGGGGGTCTTTGAAGGTCTTTGGAGGTCTGTGGAGGTCTGTGGGGGTCTTTGAAGGTCTGGGGGGTCTTTGGAGGTCTGAGGGGGGTCTTTGAAGGTCTGTGGGGGTCTTTGAAGGTCTGTGGAGGTCTGTTGGGGTCTTTGAAGGTCTGTGGAGGTCTGTGGAGGTCTGTGGGGGTCTTTGAGGGTCTGTGGAGGTCTGTGGGGGTCTTTGAAGGTCTGTGGAGGTCTGTGGGGGTCTTTGAATAATAATAATAATAATAATAATACATTTTATTTGTAAAGCACTTTTCATAAAAGAATCTCAGTGCTACAGAAACCAAGAAACACAATAACAAAGAAACACTAAGGGCAATAAGACATTAAAATCAGTAATCAATAATAATACAAGTGATCAAATACATTAAGAACAACAGTTAAAAGAGTGAAATTAGAAAAATCTAAGGACAACTGAAGAACGGCTGCCTGAACAAGAGAGTTTGAAGCCCTTTTTTAACAGTGTCCACAGACTGGGGTTTTCACAGATGTTCAGGGAGGGAGTTCCAGATGTGAGGGGCAGCGGAGCAGAAGGTCTCCCATGGTGCAGAGTCTTGAGCGGGGCTGATGGAGGAGGTTTGTGCTTTGGGACCGGAGGTTACGGGTGGATGAGTGAGGGATAAGGAGGTCTTTGAGGTATTGGGGGCGTGGGTGATGAGGGCGATCTCGTATCGGATCCTAGAGGTTAATGGGAGCCAGTGGAGGTTCTGAAGAATGTGGTCGTATTTGTGGGTTTTCATCAGAGTTCGGGCAGCACAGTTCTGAATGAACTGAAGGTTCTGAAGGTGTTTAATGGGTATACCTTTGAAGGTCTGTGGGGGTCCGTGGGTTAAAGGTCATTGTGGATCGGCCTCCGGGGGTCGCTCAGTGTCTGAAGGGGCTTTGTTTGTCTTCCAGATCACACAGATGCAGATCAGTCCATGGAGGGACACACTCCTGTGAGTAACCACTGCAGCTTAATAACAGATCAATAATCAATAATCAGTCAATAGTTAGCTGTGTCTCTGATCCTTTAAGGAGGATCAATAAGTGATTGTTATTATTATTATCATTATTGTTATTATTATTATCATTGTTATTATTATTATTTTATCATTGTTATTATTATATTGTTATTGTTTATTGTTATTATTATTTTTGTTATTATTATTATTATTATTATTATTATCATTGTTATTATTATTATTATTATTATTATTATTATCATTGTTATTATTATTATTGTTATTATTATTATCATTGTTATTATTATTATTATCATTGTTATTATTATTATTATCATTGTTATTATTATTATTATTATCATTGTTATTATTATTATTATCATTGTTATTATTATTATTATCATTATCATTGTTATTATTATTATTATTATTATTATTATTATCATTATTATTATTATTATCATTGTTATTATTATTATCATTGTTATTATTATTATCATTATTATTATTATTATTATCATTGTTATTATTATTATTATCATTATTATTATTATCATTGTTATTATTATCATTGTTATTATTATTATTATCATTGTTATTATTATCATTGTTATTGTCCTGTAGGTGTCTGAAAACCCTCATGCAGAGTACGGCCTGACAGACAACATCCAGGTACACACACACACACACACACACACACACACACACACACACACACACACACACACACACACACACACACACACACACACACACACACAGTGTCCAGAGAGAACTCCCAGCATGCTTTGCTCCCCAGAGGACAGTGGACAGTGAGAAGAGTGCAGAGAAGATGCAGAAGCAGAAGGTGGACCTTCAGGCTCTACCAACCAGAGCTTACCTGGACCAGACTGTAGTCCCCATCCTGCTGCAGGGCCTGTCTGTGCTCGCCAAGGACAGGTAACCTTACATTAATATTAAATTATATATTATTATATAATTATTATTATCGCCACGGACAGGTAACCTTATATTAACATTAATATTATATATTATTATTATTATTATATAATTTTTATTATAGTAACCTTATTAATATTATATTATATATTATTATATAATTATTATTATCGCCACGGACAGGTAACCTTACATTAATATTAAATTATATATTATTATATAATTATAATATATAATAATAATAATAATGATCTCTCTCTCTGTTGCAGACCTCCCAACCCCATCGAGTATATTAATAATAATAATAATAATAATAATATAATATAATAATAATATTATCATTATTATATATTATTAATATATATAATAATAATAATAATAATAATAATGATCTCTCTCTCTGTTGCAGACCTCCCAACCCCATTGAGTATATTTAATAATAATAATAATAATAATAATAATAATAATAACTCTCTCTCTGTTGCAGACCTCCCAACCCCATCGAGTATATTAATAATAATAATAATAATAATAATATAATATAATAATAATATTATCATTATTATATATTATTAATAATATATAATAATAATAATAATAATAATGATCTCTCTCTCTGTTGCAGACCTCCCAACCCCATCGAGTATATTAATAATTATAATATAATAATAATATTATCATTATTATTATATATTATTAATAATATATAATAATAATAATAATAATAATAATCTCTTTCTTTTTTTCACCCCCCCCCCCCCCCATATATTAATAATAATAATAATATAATATGATAATGATAATATTATCATTATTATTATATATTATTAATTTTTATTAATAATAATAATAATAATAATAATAATCTCTCTCTCTGTTGCAGACCTCCCAACCCCATCGAGTATATTAATAATAATAATAATAATAATAATAATGAGTTGCGCCTCCCAACCCCATCGAGTATATTAATAATAATAATATAATAATAATAATAATAATATAATGACCCTCTGTTGCGACCTCCCAACCCATCAGTATATTATATAATAAGTAATAATAATAATAATAATAATAATATGTTGCTCCCCCTGTTATTAATAATAATAATATAATATGATAATGATAATATTATCATTATTATTTTATTATTAATATATATATAATAATAATAATAATATTCTCTTTTTCTATATTAATAATAATAATAATAATAATGATCTCTCTCTGTTGCAGACCTCCAACCCCATCGTATAATAATAATAATAATAATAATAATAATAATGATCTCTCTCTCTGTTGCAGACCTCCCAACCCCATCGAGTATATTAATAATAATAATAATAATAATAATGATCTCTCTCTCTGTTGCAGACCTCCCAACCCCATCGAGTATCTGGCTGCGTTCCTGCTGAAGAACAAATCTCAGTTCGAGGAGAGAAATTAGTTGCTGTTTGTTCTTCGTCTGTTTTTTTTAATCCACAATAAAAATGTTGCTGTGAAACAGGAACTGAATCTGCTCTTATTCTGAAAGGATCCTTCTGCTTCCCATCAGCCCCGGCTGCTCATTGATCAAACAATCTATTGATCCTGATCAGTGCTCTGTATTGCAGGAACTGACATTGATTCCTTTCACACAGAGTGAATGAACGGGGCTGCAGTACCCCGACACAACCAGCAGGGGATCACTTTAATCAATAACCTTAAAATACATCTTCAGTTTTATAAATGAGATTAATTTGAAATCCAAACAGAAACAAAATCAATAATCTGATGATCATTTGTCAATAAAATATCAGTTCTAGTGAGAAAGGACCCGACAGGTATTCAACCGTCAGACCGAAGATATTTTACCTTCACAAAGAAAAATACCAAATAAAGTAGCTGCAGATCAATTAATCAATGAATCAACTAACCATCAATATTTCTTCAGTTCCATGCTAATGTTAGCAACGGCTAGCTAACTATTGTTAGCTAAATGTATGCTAATGAGCTAGCTAACATTATCAGGCTGATATTGATTCATTGGGAGGTTATTGATCAGTGATCGGTGTTTCCGCTGTAATATTTCTTCTGGGTCAATAATCATTTAGTCAGGAATATGTAGCTGATTATTAATGCTAATTATGCTAATTGTACATTTCTAACAAACCTTCAGTTTCAACCAGCTGAATTAATCAATTGATCCTTTATTGACTCTGATCGGTGCCGTCCGCCACACACAGGTAGAACAACAACGCTACAACACGAGCTGTTCAAAATGTGTTTTAATAAAATGATTGTGACACATTTTACACGTAGAAAACAAAATCTCAGTTTACGTTTTAATTTAGCATTAGCATAGCGTTAGCCGCTCTGTCGGATTGAAAGTATTTGAAATCGTAAGATATTC